GGATGCCCATTTTACCAATGGGGACACTGAAGCACAACATTTAAATGGCTTGCCCAAATGCATACATGGACACATCTTGCCTCCAAATCAATTGCATCCCAGTTTGGTACCTCTACCATAGGATCATATCCTTCCTTTCCTCCATATCTCAAGCTGTAGTTCATGGTCCTTATCCATTTACCTCTTTTACAAGATTCCTATAAAGGGTGCCAGCTTGTGCCAATTGCAGGGGCATTTTTAAATGTATAGTAATGCTTTCCCCTTCAGAATTAGTCTGTGACCACCATTACAACTCAGGCCTTCAAATGGAAATGACTAAGTCATTAGCTAGCATGTCAGGTTGCTTATTCTATCATAGCCTCAAAAGGAGTTCCTATGAATAACTTACTGTAAAACAGTAAGGATCTCATCAACAAAAAGATAACAGAAACTTTCCTAAGAAAGTAGCCTATCCAAGCACATGCCCATCTCTCTCTCTCTCTATCAAAGTACATGATCATGTATCTTTAAAGATAGTCAAGAAGAAAAACTCAGTTTAATGAAAAATGCTTTTTTTTTTTTTTGACTCGGCAGGGTTTGCAATAATTTTTTTCAAAAAACTGTTATAAGTTCTCCATTTTTTCCCTTTTTCAATGCACTAAAATTGAATATTTTCTATTTTCATGTCCCAACATTTTCAGCTTTGTAAAAAAAGGTCATTTACACCTATACAGTCACCTACCCGGGGTTGTTTGACCCCGGCATCCTTTCCTGCCTATGGTAGGGGGGCGGACTAGATGATTTGCTTAGATCCCTTCCCACCCTACCAACTATGAAACTATGAAACTATAAATCTTTTTATCTAAAATATTTCAACCAGCTCTGCTCATCTCTGCTTTACACATTATCTAGTCATTGAATGTTGGCTTGTGTTCAGAAACTTCCACAGGAAATAGCGATACAATCATAGGGAACAATCCTGAAGCCAATTATATTTTTAAATTAAATTCAGTGGAGATTTGCCCAAATGAGGACTGAGGCATTTGGTCCATAATTATTAATTTAGAACAATTCTTGACAAAGGAAAATTACCTTAACCCCTATAGAAAAATATTTCTGCATTTATGCTAATGCCAGACCCTCTTTTGAGATCAAGACCAAACCAAAGCTCAACCATTTAATGACAATAACATTTAAACATGTAACTGAGGGTTTAAAAATTAGAAGGAAGCCATCTGTGCATGGAACTGATAATTGCTGGGATTATTACTATTTCTGAATCCAGTTTCCTTAAAAATGAACCATTTTATAATTTAATTATGTTACCATTGAAAAGAAAGGGGACTAATATAAAGCACTCAGCTCAGATAAGAGAAGGCAGGACCCAGAGAATTGGTTTAGAAGGACCCCCAAATAATTGTAGGAATTACTTTTATCTCAGTTCAGCTCAAAGTCATCAGAATGACTTTTATATCAAAGAGCTGCAGTGACTGACAGGCACAGGATTCCCTTTGTACTGTTTAAAACTCATTAGGCCATGAAATAACTTTATCTTGCCAAGACAGGAAATAACAACAGATGCTGGTTTTGCATTATCTGCATTATTTAGCCCAGCAATCTTTAGACATTTGGGTCAAGTTTCTACAAATTTGTTGCTTTCAACTGAGTGAGGAATCATGTGTCTTAACCTTTCGGTCTGACCTGTCTAATTGCTGTCCATTAATAACACTGTGCTTTTTTGGTGACAATTAACCATACACTGATGAGGTTTTGATTCAATTTTTTCTAGTGTGGAGACAAATCAAACTTAAAATGGAACAAGAAAGGTACTGTACACCACTAAAAGAAAAAAGAGAGAGACTCTTAAATAAATTGTACATTGTGGTTACTTGCCTGTCCTGAGAGCTTTCTGAGAATGTTATTTTCTACCTCCTCTTAGCATTGAAGCTGCAATTAAGGAAAACCCATTATGGTAAATTTAATTGTCTTTATCTTTCTTTTATAAAACTCTTATTTTTCCAAAGTGTGTGTATGTGCAGTGCTTGAAGCAACAGGCCAACTCTCATATAGAAAGAAACCATACCATTTGGTATGTTTTTCCTGAGGCATACTGCATTTTTCTACTGCATTGCAATTTCATAAGAAGAGAAAATAGAAGCCCAATAGGTAGTAAGTATCCCCTTCTATAAATGGTAAAAGACCAGGGCTTGATTTGACGAATGCGGAGTATTGCACGACTTCTATGCTCCAGCCAGGCTGTACCCCACATAGGGAGAGGAACCAGTAACACTCTTT